ATATCTAAATTACTTGGGATCTTACTGTGCCCCCTTCCATGGCCTTTTGGGGCTGCAGCTTCAGGGCATCTGTTTGGGGCATCTGGTGGCTGGGGCCGCGTCATCCATCAGCCCCACAGCTTCACCAGTGGTCAGGGTCTGGGGGGACAAGAAGCCAAAACTCCCAAAGGGCACGTGATGGTGAAGGACGAACCTCCCACTCCCCGCTTTCTTCTGTGTTATTTAAGCACTTATGAATGTCTTTGTTATATTGTAAGCTCTGTGGGGCAGGTTACAGTTTTTGTATAACTCCCCATAAATAAAAAGGGGAATATGCCTGCCAGCACTTCTTTTGTTGTCTCGTTTTGTTTTGTATCTATGCAGTCGAGGCTCGGGGGACACAAGCGGAACATAAGTGGAAAACTGCTTTGCTGATGCTGTAGCTTTTTGCCCAAGGCAGTTTGGTCACCCAGTTTGGTCCTCATGCTGGCATCGTGGGTTGCTTAGACCTTGGCGGTGTTCACATAACTCAGTGAACAGCCCGGCATGGTTACCATGGTGCGTGGTTTTTTACCATGATCTACCTGATAAATGGTTTCTACATTATCATGGTTTCCATCCTCAGTCCTCCCATGACTGGCACATACCCCATCAGCCCCTGCAACTGAACTTCAATCCCATGATGCATCCCTTCCTGCCTATGGTGCCTGACTCTTGCTGATTGGCCTTCACATAGAGACTGAATGCCTGGAGCGGCTCCTGCAGTCGCCATTCTTTCTAGGAGACTCTGTGGTAGTTTCATACCAAGACCATAGAAACCAGGATCCTGGGTTCAGACAACACAACAAGCCCTGGTGGCACAGAGAAACCATAGAACAAGCTTATTTTACATCATGGTTTCTAAAGAGTTCAGACAACACAACAGACCAACAACGGTAAAAAATCACTACAGGTTGTCATTTTCTCTGAACCCAGCCAGTTTGTTGTGTGATTTACTTATGTGTAAATTTACACATAAATAGACCTATTATCTAGTCCTTCTAGGATATTATCAAATGCAGGGTAGCAAATCATATTCCCGAATTTCAGCCTTTTGTCTTTTATGATTGTCTTTCTATGAACCAAAACATGCCGGGAGTATATTATGTCCCAAAATTGGTATTAAAAGGTCAATGGGATCCAAACGAAGGGCACATTTCAGGCATAAAATGAGATTAACTACAGGTCATCTAAGTCTCTTTGGAAAGCCAAGAGTTGGAGCTAAAGAGACTTGGGGGAAGTTTTGTTACATGGACTGAAGGTTTGTAGGCCAAACGATCTTCATACGGGTTGAAGGTCAGCATGCCGTCTTGTTACGCCAATTCTATTGTAGCGCATCGCTGCAGAAAGAATGCGTCCCGAAGTCCTTGTCCTAGCAGAAACCCGAAGGCCACATTTCCGCTTCCATTCAAACTGGTGAATCACAAAGTTATCCCAATAATAATATCATTGATTACTCTTTTGTTTGCATTTGGATTCAGTTCTCTTTTGCCAAGACAAAATCCACAAGCAGACTTCCAGTCAGTGAGAGTTCCACATTTTGGCAAAATAATAAATGAGGAGCAAGAGCAAAGCAGTCCCTGAATTTCATGTTCTCGATTGGGATTGATTTTACTGTTTACAATTTTTTCTAATTGCTTGATTCATATTTGAAATTTATGCCTGAATTAAAAGCTAACTTTTTTAGTTCCTTTTGTTCACCCATAGTACTATATGTGGATCAAAAATTAGGAATTTGACTTCTTCATCTTCAAATGTGATTTACAAACATAAATCAAACATTTCTCGGGGAGCGGGGGCTCAGGAAAGGTTGGAGCCACTGTCCCAGGGGAAAATAGCAGTTTCCGTACGCAGCATTTTCATTTTCTCTGGGGTGACAAAATAACTGCCAGTACGACCGAGGCTAGTTTTCACATAGACTCCGGGTGAAAGCCAGTGTAGATCACCCACATAAACCTTTGGGTCCCAGTCCCCGCTCAGCCATGGGGCTCACTGGGGGACTTGGGGCATTCAACCCAACCTACCTCACAGGGTTGTTGTGAGGACAAGATCGAGAGGAGGAGGAGAATGATGCAAGCTGCTTTGAGTTCCTTGAAAGGAAACAAGTGGGATAGAAGTATAATAATTAATAAATAAATAAAGGGAGCCAGAGGGCAGAACAGGGCGGGACCTTTGTGTCAGAGGATTTCCCCCAACCGGAACATGAGAAGTGCCGTTTGTCTGCCTGAGCATGCGCAAGGTCGTCCCCAGAGCCCTGCCTTGCTGGGCCACCATCTTTTGGAGGTTGACTACCTGCTACACCTGAGCAATGGACCTGTCTCTTCTCTCCTTGTTCTCCACTGGCTGCTCTGGACCTTGCTTCCCACCCGCACCGTCAGGCCTGCTGCAAGCTACTGGGGACGCTGGCAAAGCATGACCCTTGATGTAAATAAATCCTAAACAAATAAACCCTGAATAAATAAATAGCAAGTCCTCCTTGGCTGCTTTTTTCCCAGGGTTATCACAGATGGGGAGTTGATCAAGTAACATGGAAACAGAGCGAGTCAGAAGGGGTCTCCCGGGCCATCTAGTCTGACCTCTGGCACCGGCCGGCTCTGCTCATGACATGCCCACCATGTGGACATCCAGCCTATCCTTGAACACCCGCACCGACGGGGCCTCGAACCAGCTGAAAAACGATGTCTGTTGTTGCAGAAACTGGAGACCAGAACCCATGAACGCCGGGGCATCCCCGTCACGCACGCCACATGTATCCAAGAACCCCCGGTATCGCGATCTCCCCAGTGAGAGAAAGGGGTTAGCTTAGTGGAGAGTCACACGCACTCGGATTGCATTCTCCCGGAGCCGAACCGAAGGAGTTCGTAGAGGGAAATGTGCCCACGGTGCTTTCCGGCGTGCATCAGGCCTTGGGGACACCTTGATCCCCCGGGTTTTAACCATTTGGGCCCCCTGGGCTGCTATGAAGCATCCCTGTTCTGCTTCCTCCACAGTGCTCTGTAACTAACTAGCAAGCGGGAGCCAGGAGGAGGAGGAGGAGGAGGAGGAGGAAGTTGGTGGCCTTGGTGGGGAGAAGATCAGCCCACTGCTGGGAAGGGCCCCCTGCCCAGAGTCACCATCATCCCCAAGCCAGCAGCACCTTTGACATTCACAAGAACCACGCAGGCGGCAGGGAGTTGCTCTCTTGTATAACGTGGTTTTGTCCATGTGCCCTGCTACACGTTGACACCTCCTTGACGTGGAAGCCACCCTGAGAAGGTTCAAGTGTGGAGCAGTAAGCGTCAAAAATAAAACTTGTTTATAAAAATAAGCCCCCTCTTTCTTGTTGCGGCTGCTGATTTTATTTTCTCTACCAGCCAACAGCTGAAGTTCTCTGGGTGGGGCACAACAACGAATAAAATATGATAGGGCAGCTCAACAACAGTGGAAGCACAATTTTTAAAAATTAAACCCAGTTGTTTTCCTCTTCAGCCACTAAAAGAGGGGTATACAGCTAAGTCCCCTGAAATGGATGGTAAGATAGGTAAGATGCACATGGTGGGCATGTCGTGAGCAAAGCCAGCTGGTGCCGGGGGTCAGACTAGATGGCCCAGGAGGCCCCTTCTGACTCGCTGTTTCTATGTTTCTGTGTAATATTTCCCTGCCAGTGTTGTTTCCAGGTGCTAATTGCCTTGGCACACAAGTCTTGGTGCCGGAAGGGTGCTAAAGTCTTAGGTGAGCCTTAGTGGGGAAATTGTTCCAGAGTCTGGGAGCCACCACAAAAAGGCCCTGCTCTTTGTTGCCTCCAGCCAAGCTTTTCTCAGAAGTGGCCATCAGAGGAGATGCCTGGGTGGGCAGTGTAGTGTCTGGATAGAGCAGGTGCATTTTGTGGCCCCACGTTTTTTGGCCCCAAGCCATGTAGGCTTGCCAGACTAAACCCAGCAGTCTGAGTTGGGCTTGGAAGGGTCTAGGCAGCCAGTGCAGGCCGGCCAGAACTGTGCTCTGTGCTTGGACCTTCTAGTTCCAGTTATCTGTCCAGTTGCCACATTGCACCAGCTTGAAACATAGAAACATAGAAATAGAGTGAGTCAGAAGGGGTCTCCCGGGTCATCTAGTCTGACCCCCGGCTCCAGCCGGCTCCGCTCACGACATGCCCACCATGTGCACGTCCAGCCTGTCCTTGAACACCCGCACCGATGGGGCCCCAAGCACCTCCCATGGAAGCCCATTCTGTACCCTTGGGATCCTAACCATCATCCTGGCATCCAACTTGAACCTGGGTTCCCTGAGCTTTGCTCCATTGGAGCCACGTCCTGCCCTCCTCTGCAGGGGAGAACAGGTCTCTACCGACCTCTGTGTGACATCCCCTCACATACCACATACCTTGAACCATCTTCAAGGGCAGCCCCACACGGAGTGCGTTTAATCTCCCGATTTAGAGGCTGCCAGAGTGTAGAGTATGAAGCCAGGCGGTCTCTGTCCAGGTTGGGGCGCAGCTGGGCCACCTGCCAAAGATGGCA